AACAGTTTAGTAACTAAGGTATAACACAAATCACTACTGCTACCATCAATAATAATGATAAAGAAAATAACAAGGGAAGAGAATACAACACCTCACCACCAGCCAACCAATAACTAGCCCACCCAGCCCGACCAAGCACTGACCGATACCTCCTCCAACCCTGCAATCCCTAGCCCTTCTGGGTAACTACCAGTTACATCCCTGGCATGACGTCCTGTGGTATGGAATACTTCTTTGGTCAGTTTGGATCAGGTGGCCTGCCTCTGCTTCCTCCTGGCATCCCCTCCTCCCTGGCAGAGCATGAGGCTCAGAAAGTCCTTGGTCAGACTAAAACATCAGTGTTATCAGCTCTGTTCCCAGGCCGAAAGTCAAAACATGAAAACACAGCACTGCACCAGCTACCAAGAAGGAGAAAAAATTACTGCTACTGCTGAAACCAGGACAAATGATTAAACACACAAACACAAGTTTCCAAATAATAACTGTGAAATAGTTTGTGCATTAAGCCAGCAACTGCACTGTCAGATAAACTCATATGCATGCATACATGTATGTGTGCTTAAGTGTTTGTATGTAAGGTGTCTTGCCATTTAAGTCATGAGCTAAGTCATACTGAGAACTAATTTGTCTTACAATAGCAATCAAAATATGTCAAGTAAAGTTCTAGGCTATGTAGAAAGAAAAAGTCCTTTATAGTAAAAATTATTCTGAAAGTCAGTTTTTGCCATTTTTCATTCATTCATCGTGACTGTGAAGAAGGATTAGTTACAGAACTTGCATTATTTTTTCTTTTCTGATAATTTATCAGGTATTTTCAAAAATTTGCTGTATTTCTTGTATCAGAATAATGGAATTTGATATCAGAATATCAGGAAGATGACTTGAGCTGATACACATTGCCAAAGATGTTTGCCATTTGTTCATCAAAGAAATAGCTTTATTGCTTGAGAAGTATCTCATTAAATTGAGATAGAACAATGAAAAGCTCTTTACATTTGCTTTCATTTCTTTAAGAGCTGTACATTGACATGCAGTATTTGTAGCTATGGAATTCAGAGACTAATACGTAATTGAAGAAATGCATTAACTTATTTCTTTGTGAAAAGGGCAATAGCATTGACTATGATGCCTTAAAGTTAAGAAAAAATCTTTTAATAGATTTTATGAAAGTATGTGGCACAAACTAATCCTATTAAAGAAAACTGCTGAATAATTTTAAATTTATGGAAATACTGTGATCAACACTGGGTTTATTTTAGCCATTGACAAGTCTTCTCCAATACTGCCATCTATAGAGTCTTCCGAATATTACATTGCTGTCCCCTTAAATGAGAATATTACCACGCCTGTGAAATCTTACAATTGACCAATCTGAAATTATTTGGTTCTTCATTCCTCCACAGAATCAAGTAAATTATCTAGGACATAAATTTCATATTCTTACTATCTAGAGGATTTCTAGCTTGTGTGTGAATATATCTCAGTGCTTAACAAAATGTCAGAGGAACTTCATTGACTCCAAATTTATTTTTGCTCGTTTTCCACTGTCTGAAGTGATACTGTTTATGACAAGATGAGAGACGTGATCGAATCCACTAAACAAATAGGGGAAAAAAAAAACACCGGAAAAAAAGAAAAGAAAAGATAAGCCACAAATGTTTGGATGTTGATGACTACTTCAAGGAGATGTCATATATTGCTGCTGTGTGAAACTTAACTCTAAACCTTCATTACTGGCCACTGCTAAAGACAGGATTACTAGCCTCACAGAGGGACACTGTTCTTATAGAGGAATAAGCTGCTGAGATACAATCTAATAGGGATTAGAATACAACTGCAGACAGTCATGGATAACATACCTATTTTTAATGTTCATATCCCTTAATGACTATTAGTTATGAAACAGATATTGAGTTCAAATATATAATAATAATGTGCTATAAATCAAATTATCTGCAGCAAAAGGTGCTTAGGTTGTTGCTTCTACCCCAGGAAGAATCATCCTTGACATTCAAATCTTCGCTACTTTTTCTCACAAGTAGTAATCATACTGAAGCCTATAGGTCTACTATACACTTACAGGAGAGCTGAAACGAGTACCTTAGAGATTTCTCCCTCTTCAGGAACCCTTTAAGATACCTAATTACAGAGGTACTCATTGTGCTAAACAATAAGCTGGAATTTGGTGTGCAAAGCCATGCAGTAGACTCCCCAAAGTGCTGGGAGCTGGAACCTCTATTGGTTTTGAACATTGTGTTAATGAAATAACTATACTAAATTGCATGCTGATGTGGGTTAAAGGTTCACTTAATCAAAATACAATTTAGAGTTGTGTGGTACTTCAGTTGCAAACTTTAAATCAGATGAACAAAAGCCTTTATTAACATTATATTTCAGTGGAAAATGTAACTACATTAAAAAAGATAATCCTAGAAAAACTGTTTTCCTTGCATTCTTAATCCTAGTGGTTAAGGCAGCAATAAACTAAGAATTAACACTGTGCCAGATCTTGGCAATGTTTGGTTGCTCTTTATGCACTTCATGATTTGGGCTGGGTTTGCTGCATTGATGTTACAGTTCTGACCTTTTCAAACCAGTGAGACAGAATTATCTGCTGCTTCATGTGTCATGAGCAGTCTTAGAAGTGGTCTGAGTCCAGATGGCAATGTTTACACTAAGTAAAAAAGACTCCTAGATAAATACTCCATTTCCTCCCTATTTCATTACTGATTTTTATTCTGACAGTATAAATTAATCATTTTTTAATTTGTTTACATCAATTTTACCATTACAAACCCAACACCCTTGTAGAACCATCCTGTCTTATGAGTGTTAATGGGTTTGGACAACACAGAACATCAAAGAAGTGGAGCTTTAATTTATTCTAGAATTACTGTGTTACGCTGCCTTGCCTGAGCAGGCTTTGTTCCTTGGACCCATGCAGATGTAATTTTCAACACCCTTCTCTCTTTCTGGTGCTCCTTATGGATGCTTGCCTGTCCAAAATAGGTCCTCAATTTCATAGCCATCTTCCTGCTGCACTTCAGTCACCAGCCTACTGCCTACCTGCTATACCATTTGATCTTTCTCCTAGAAAAGCAGGTCCTGTCACTACAATGAAATGTTTGATCTCAGAGTGTCAGACCAAAAAATACCAGTGTACTACTCACTGAATATTCATTGATCATGTACAGCCTGTTGGAAAGGCAGGATAATTGAAACTGCTACCCTCTTTTCATCAGTTCGGTTGATTTCTTCTAACTGCCTCTAAAATACATGATTTAATACACATCTCACCACAACGTTCTGAGAATATTGCTCAGTGTTTATGCTTTGGCAATGAGCATTGTGAAAATGGACCTCTCCGTGAATTTCAGGCCATATGAGCCATTAAAACTATGTTTTTTAAGTGATGTTGCTCTCCCTGGGTTTACCTTTGTACTAAGTTTTCCAACTACCAAACACTTGCTCATGCAGCTCTGACTTCTAAAGCTTAACCATAATATACCATATCTCTGTGCTGATAGTCATTGCACCCTTGGTGGTTTGAGTTGCTGCTCTAAGCAGGTTTATTCATGTTACTCTTTAAGAACAGTTATGTCTTCAGCTGCAGATATACTTTCATCACCAATTTACATAGTTCATAAAGAACAACAATAATTTTTAGTGTTTGCTAGGCAAGTTAGTTGTTTGATTTTTGTCAGTTTATATTTAAGCACCCTCAAATTTGTGGTCACAGTAGTCTTCCTTATTGTGGTTCTACCCCTAATGCCCCATTTACTCACTTCACCTGACCTGTCTTCATGCAGTTCATACTGTTCTCCTGTATTTACTGGTTGCTATTATTTGGTAAAGTCCTATTTGTTCTTACTGCTTGTTATTCTTCTCTGCTTTTTCTCTCATAAATCTCATCTGTCTTTTTCTCACACTTCTCCCTCTTCTTTCTTGCACATTTATTAGTCCCCATCATTTGATTACCATTTGTTCTCTCCTGGTCCCTTGGGCTGTTCATTGCTCTCTGTCTCCTTTTCTTTTGGCTCCAATAGCCACCATCAATCCAAAGATGAGATATTCAGTCTTGATAAGCAGCTGCTTTTTAGCAATTTGCCATCAACTAAAAGTGCAAACTGCACTTCAAAAAATCTCATGATAATTCATTATTCTGACAGAGTGAGGTGAAACACAGGGCAAAGAGTTTGGTCAGGACCCATATTCCCTATTCATAAAACCCCATCTTTTAAATAAACCAGAGAGGAACTCTCTAATGTGTTTACCAGATAGAGGAATTACTAAAAGGTTGACAATCTACAAGAAATACAATTTTCTGTTCCTCAGATATGCGCTATTTATACTGGTAATAGTGGCCATCACAAAAAGAACCAAATCTATTCTGAAACAAGAACATGGAGTGTTTACCTGATTAATTACCTGCTTTATGTATAACACCTGCCCTGGTGATCCATGTCCTGAATCCAGATGGCATTACTTTCAAAAAGCTCACTTGAAATGAGAATTCAAAGTTGAAAAGTTCATCTAAAAAGCCCTGAAAAGCTCTTTGCAGCAGATACAATAGAGCAAGCACATTCTTACATGGAATAAAGAATTTAAGAATGACTTCCAACATACTTTGTTATGGTGAGCTTGGGAATTGAACTAATCACTGTAATGCTGCTTTGCAAGGCTTTCTGTCCTCTTGGCATTTAACAAATCACAGCTACACTGCCCATGAAAATCTCATTGAATAATTTGAAAAAAAATGAAGAAACGGATGTAAAAAATAAGCAGTTAGAAAACAATATCTAAAAATGTATAGCTTTTTTTTTTTATTTGTTGATTTTTTTTTTTTCTAATAGAAAGGAGCACCACTTTCTAATATAAAATCTATTTTGTACTTCGGGTCTTTGTGTCACATTTAATTGATATACTACAACATACTGTGTTTTTTCCACCAAGGCATTATAGCATACCTGTATGTACAGTGTACTATCCATTTGACATACCTTGTTCACAATAGGTACCAGTTGTTCCAAGAGGACAGTGACATGTGTAGTCGTTAGGCAGCGGCACACAAGTACCACCTTGCTTACACAGATGCGGAGGAACGTGCTCAGGTTCACACACTGACACTGTTTCTGTGCAAAATGCACCTTTCCATCCAGTGAGGCAGTCACAGCTACAGTGGTAAGGGAAAGGAAAGAATGCAACATTATTACCAAAACAATCAACAAGACAGTAGCAATGTAATCAACACTTTCAAGTCTGGATACCTGTATTTAGTCATCTGAACCAAAATTGTTACGAGAAAAGTGTAGTAACAAAGTTTCTCATGGTCATTTTAGGTTTGTTTTATTGTAAAAGAAATACATACTCAATAGGAAATATTTTATTTTACATCTTAGTATTAACACTAACTGCAATTTTAAAATTAGTATGAATTCTATAAAAATTGTTAAATAAAGAATACAGTTATCATTGATGTTACTAGTGCCCTCCTTACTAAAATGTTTTGAAATAGTTAAAATGAAATATTTCAGATCTGTATTTTGCAACTTAGTGACACTTTAAGATAAGCAGAATTATTCCCTTGATTAAGAGCACTTACAGATTTTTCCCTGGAAGTTTCCTCTGTCAGAGCTAAGAAAGAAAACCTGTATATCTTGACTGATTCTCAGGCCATGTCTTGTATATGTGCAAAATCTTGAATTTTGTTTCAAACTCACTGCACTACACTTTCCCCATTTATCAGCTCACTGTTTCTGGGCAAAACTTAATGAGGATTCTGTGAAACTCTGCTGTTTTACTGAACCTTCAGATAAGACAGCAACATGTAAACAAAGCACAGCCAACAAGCCTTTCAGAGTGATAAACAGCTATTTGGAATGAAGGGGAAAAGAGGACAGGACCTTGCAAAAGCAAAAGCACCTCAATTCATCAAAGTCAGTATCAGAACACTTCCTGTCTCAGCTATAAATGTTATGCTTTGATGCATGAAAGCTACTGAGAAGGGGGAGCAATTTAATTCCCTGAGTGGAAACAGAAATGTCTGTTTCTTGGGCTGGGAAGCAGGGTGTTTGGAGCTGAAGCTACTGCTGTTGGGCAGCATACATAATGGTTCTTCCCCTTTTCTCTTGCTGTGTATAAATTTCTTTTAATTCATGTCTTTTAGGACCTAAAAAAAGCTAGGCTTCTAAACGAGTTGAAAAACATTTGCAGAGAGTTGAACATATTTGTTGTGGGCTACAGTGGCAAAGGTCTATGAAAGAATGAGATCTCTTACTTAACAGTCCTAAGAATGTTAGACTTGGATTGGAAAGTTTAGATCCAAAATTTCCTAATCTTTAGCAAGATAAGGGAAGATGTAATCTTTCAAATCCTTTCCATCATGTGGCCTGCTATGCTGGTCTAGTTTTCTGTATATTTTATTGATTGTCATTGCTTGTTTTTCCAAACCAGGAGAACACAATGGCTTTCAACATCTCTACTGCCTCTACTCTTAGAGATTTAAAGACCCATTTAGAATTATAGAGCATCTCAAATTAGAAGGGACCCATAGGAACTGTTGAGTTCCTACTTCTTGCTCCTAGTTCCTACTGTTCCTACTTCTTGCTCCTTGCAAGACTACCTAAAACTAAATCATATGGCTAAGAGCACCATCCAGATGTTACTTGAATTTCTCAGATATAAATGTAAATTTCATTCTGAGAGCTAGACACCTAATTTTACGTTATGCTTGATGTTGCCTTCCTAGAGATATGTGAGAGACAACTAATAGAGACCACTGAATGCTCAAGTTTAGGCAATGGGATCCTCGAGTAGCTGCTTGAGCTCATGTGCTAATCAATAATGTGATCCAGCTGAAACAGTCAGGGGAACTGAGCACTGTCAATCTCACAAACCAATGCACACATGGCTCTAATGATGAGGTGCTGCATTCAGTTGCCTCAACACAGGTATTTAGTGCCATCTGACATGCCATGGTATATCTGAGGGATCTGCACAAAACCAGCAGATAAGATAGAAGAGCTGCAGAAGACTTGTGTCCTTCTAGACATCCTATAAAGACTGAAGAAGGTGTCTCAGGATCTGTGCTATTAAAATGTAACTGACTGTGTAGGATCTTACACATTTAGCTCACATGGAGTCCGAAGAGATTAAGATTGGAAGGAAATTAACTATACTTAAACAAAGAGAATGATGGAATACTACAAATGTGTCCCATTAAATAAGCCAATTTGGATGACTTTTAGATAGCAAATTCACTCCAAAACCTTTACTGAAGTAAGCCACAATAATTAAATAGAGAAATGCCTTTACTCTTACAAACTATGCAAGTATGTCCTTGCATTGAAATTTAATTCCATCCATGCACTGAAAATGGGTTCAAATTGAATTAAACCTAATAATGAAACAACAGCAAATAAATCTGTGGGGCTCTACCATATAGATGTATGGTTTGATTTCCTAAACTGAAGTGACTAGTGCTATTTAAAAGCTATAAAATACAGGAAAATCTATGTCAGGTTTGGAGATACAACACAAGACTTAAATGAGTCCTAAGCTCTTCTGAAGCAGCAGCTGAAGGCCAAATGGTGTACCCATGAGCATCTAGAGTGACAGCACATGCTTCCATTTAACAAATCGAGTCCTGCTTGTTATGCCTGATGTTCTGTTCCAAGTGCACACAAGACATGCTTTTTCTCTTATTCAGCAACAAGCAATAGCCATAACACATCATAACAATCTGTTATATGCATTTTCTATTTTGTATGATTCTGTGCCATAAGTAAAATAATGGAGCATATTATTGTCCTTTGAATATAAAAGTCTTAATTTTATTATTCAAATATTTCATCTTTCTTTAAAAAAAACATAGTAGTTGTCCTCTCTTGCAGGCCAGAATGTAAAGTGTAATGCTGTATATCCCTGCTTCCATTTAAATCAAAGCATTATCCCTACAGCAACTGAATCTACAGCATTGCACCCTTTCTGGTACATTGGTGAAAGTAAGACATAAAAATAGCTCAAAGGAGCAGGAAAACCTCTGGAGAGACTTCGTTTCAGGAGGAAAAATATTTGAACACAAATCCAGTTCCCTTAAGGACTCTGCTTTCAAAGGAACACAGATAGTTTGAAAACAGAAAGAAGTTCCTTCTGGGAAAATGTGCGATGGCATCAACAGCTACTGCTACATTGACAAAAATGATATGCGTTCTATGTCCACACCTCTTTCTTTGGCAAAGTTTCACTTTTTTGTGAGAGGAAAAGGTGGCCACTACTAGTACATGCATGCTTATATACATAGTCTGTGAAGACCTAGCTGTCCTGAAATACGAGGAGAAGAATATAATTCAGCAGTAAGTCTTGACAAATTAAAAGCAAATGAAACCCAGAAGACAAAAAAAATGAGAACCCCACTATTTTAGAGCAATCCCTAAACAAATCTGGAATCATCATCATCATCATAAACAAATCTGGAATACTAAGTATGAAACTATAATGATGAAAAAGAACTTTGTTATCATATCAAGCTTGCAGTATGGCTATGTCAACAGCTGCCACTCTAGCCTCCCACCTTCTTTCCAGATGTTCTCTATATCTTGCTGGTGGTGGCTCTGTGTATCTTATGGTTGGGAAGATGACTTTTTATAGCTGGGAAAGTTGCTGAAGCAAGGATTTAGAGTGGATGGTGGAGGTGGGTAGATGAGAGTCTGCATTTCTAATACCTTTTTTTCCTTGCAGTTTTGGTTTTGTATCTCCTCTGATATCCTCATATGTGAAACGAGTGCCATTCTCCTTTCTTGTTCCTCAGAAAGGTCAAACACTCTGAAAATTAAGGGTTTAACCTTTCTGGAAAGATCATGCAAAGTGCATTAGTTGGGACATAATGTAGTGCAACAAATGGAAAGCAATCCCAAATTTTATCATTCAAAGCATTTCCTTCGTTTCTGTATTTAAAAGACTATAAATACCCTTGTGAGGGGAATGGGGAGGAAACTGTGCACTGCCTCTCAAGGGTGAATATTTTAAATTTTCGTACAGCCTTACTAGCTTTGTAGTAGCTTCTAGTTTTGTACAGGTTTTCTTGCAGATGAAGATTTGTCTAAGGGCAGGAAAACCAGTTACCATACAACGCTGTCTCCAACACACAGTTATTAGACTGTTTTTAGCTTGACAGGTATGCAGACACTTTTCTTTGTAGCACACAGAATGACAAGTCTTTGTTGTTTTGAAGAAGAATCACACAGAGGTTCCATTGTGCAAAACTTGTGTTTTTCTTCTTCTTGTCTTGCTGTCTGCAATGTTTTCAATCAGTGTCTTCAGATGTTTTAAATCAGCACCTCTGTCGTTTTTAAAAAATATGTAAATACATGTAAATAAATGAGCACATGAGGAAGCACATGAGGGGAAGCAAGTATAATTAATCTTGCCAGATACTTCCAAAATCAGAAGTGCTCCTAAGCAAAGATTTTACAGCTGAGTTACAAAGTGTTTGAAAAAGTGTTTGAAAGAGTGTTTGAAAAAGTGTTTTGAAAACACACACCAGCAATTTGGAACTGCAAATATATTTCCTTCTTGTATGCCTTTACAGTCTGGACACTATGATCCATCTGCGCTTAGTGATGAGGCATGAAAGACGATACACACATCTGGGGCAGCTGTCCCTTCCCACCACTTATTATCCCATAGATCAGCCAGGTGATCAGCTTACATGAACTGAACTAGTTAAACCTATTTCAACATAAGATTCTTACTAATACACTTTGTTTTGATTGAAATTGATTAAGAGCAGGCTAGCCAGCATATCTGGAAAGGCAACCATGAATGAATGCTTGAGTGGCATGAAGACTGACCAGGAAGGTGCATTTGAGAGTCAGGAAAACATCCACAGAAATCACAACTGAAGGCACAGAGAACTGTGTGTATTAAGGAGTGACTGAGCATGAGAGAAGGATGCATAGGTGCTAGGTAAGGAAAATCCTAAGGATTTAAACTGGCTCAGAACTTTCTGATATTGAGCAGTCAGTGGTTTACTCCAGAAATAGATTCTTAGATAAAAAACACTATTTTCCAGGAAACAGAACTCACCTATTTCTATTTCATCAACCATGTTTATATATTAAGGCAGTCAAGCTCTTCTTTTTGCTATTTGTTCTCTGCTAACTAGGTTTCTCACTGAGTTTTTGAAAAATGTCTTTCTTACCCATCTAGTTCTTTCCATGCATTTTTTCATGAATGGATGTCAGTGACTTCAGTGAAGCAGAACCAGTCCATGGAATTTCTTCAGAAAGTTCCCCAGGAAGTGGCAACACATAATTCTAATATATCAGTTTTGATTTTACTAAAGTAAGATTAAAATTCTCTGTGTAATTAAAGGAACTTCAACAGTTTTCATTCTTTCCTTCCTCCTAATAAGGTGATAGGCTCCTGGAAATGTCTGTTACCAAGCCACTAATCTACCATAGTTATAAGTCTAGAGATCAGTCCATGCTGTAGTCTAAACCATATATATATACTTACTAAACAGTAGAGCCACTTTCTATGCACTTCCCACCGTTTCTGCATTTTATTAAACTGCATGGAGAATCTTTACATTGTCCAACACTGCGACCAGAATTGGGGTGACCTTCTGGATTTCCAGGTGATTTGAACTCTTGATTCATGCTGGTGCGAACTTGAACATCAAAAATGCAACCTCAAAAGTCAAACGAAAAAATAAATGAAGTTTAATCTAGACACAGGAAGTCAAAAGAAGCCGAAGAGCCAGACAGTGGACTGAGGAGTGACTAGGTACAATTTTGTGTTTACACATGCATGCTCTTATAAGAATGCTTCTATATAAGATAAAAGTGGTAGCCTGTCACCCCCAAGAAAAAAAACCCAACCCCCCCGCCCCGAAAAACACAACAGGAAAAACAACAACAGAAAAGGAGAACAGACATCAGGAATTCTGTTTAACGTAAAATGTGTAAGGATCTAGAGAACACACAAATAGGCAACGTGGATTTGAAACCCCTTAGGCTGAAAAGGACCCCTTCAAGGAAAGACAGAAATAGTCCTCTTCTTAAGTGAATGTGTCAGTCCCTAGTACCTACAGATCACGTCACACATGATCACATTTTAAAATAGGCCTATGCAGCCCCTTTAGACTCTTAATCTCAGGAAACATTTCTAAGGTTTCATGTGTACTATTAAGGCAAACACTTCCAGGGACTGTTACTTGGTCCTGTGGGCAACTGACCTGGTAGTAGTCATGGTTATATTACAGAACTTTAGAGCAGTATAGCTGCATCCAGGCTACTGATGGGAAATGGTCCCTAGATTATGTTAAGTCCCCAAATACACCAAATAGTTGTTTGGAAAAAATGATAGTTGTCACAAATCAAATATCTGTTGGGGCCACTCTAAGAATATATTTGCAGAGATGATTGGCTGCCAGCGCCTGGATCTATGCCCTGGCATTTTTGTGATTTGGTAATATATTGGTATCCCAAATGAAAAGGGGAGCCAAAGCTTCAGAGTGAAGTAGAGATGTTCCTTACACTCTACCTCCAGGCAGCTTCTGCTTAGGCAAAGACTTTGGAGTGTCCTTGCACTTCCTAGAGGCTGCACACGGTGGTTAGCTTTATGGGTCTAACCTAATTCCATAGTATTTCTGAATCATGTTTCCAGATTTACATGCTTATTTATGTACAGCAAAGATGAAGATTATGCATATAGTATATAATTTTTGATCAAACCCCAAATAACTTTTCAAAATATACCTGAACATCCAGTTGATTTAAAGCCACATTTAAAAGTAGTCTTAAACAATTTTGAAATGCCACCCCCATCTATACATAAATATACACAATTTCAAACTAAAAATCATTTTAGTTAAGTCAGTACAGCAATGTGTTTGGAAATATCAATACCTTTCTAAGTCTGATTTATACAATTTAGCTGTGAATTCCCATAGTGCCTGAAATAATGAGAAAGTAGGCATTCAGCAGTGCATGCCAGAGGCTCATTGCTTAATATTAAAATCAAGGAAAGGATATGATAAGGAGGTTGAAAGTAATCATCACACTTTTTTTAGAAAGTTTGTGCATGATTCACTGAAATCATGTAAGAAAAAGTCTTTTACCTGAAAGATAGAATGAATGTCGCATAATTTATTTCGAACAAATTAGAAATAATATTTACAGTAAGATAACTATTTTAATTATAGTTAGAACAGTGTTCCTAAAAGTAGCTTTTGTAGGCTTTTCCCATATTACACACATTTTGTGGTTCTGTTTATATGGACAGATAACTCATTAAGCAATTTAAAATAACCTGGTTTGATGATTATTTGCAATCTTCATAATATTGCTTCTCTGCTTTTAACAGTGCTGGTTTTAGGTCTCTCTATGCTCACTAAATCCTAAGTAATGTTTCGTCTGTTTATCAGTAGCAGATAAAGCATGTTCTGTTCTCTCCAGTCTTGCTGGAGTGCTAAGAAAAAGCAGCCCAGAGCTCTTTGTAAACAATGGAAAGCACACTGAGTACCCAAGAACTGGTAAGGTCATCATAGAAAATTAACTGTCATTTGTGTTGATGACTACTTTAACTGTACCAGCAGAACATCTAGGTTAGGAACAATTCTTGAGCACTTGTAAACAAAGCATATAGTAGGTGCAATAGTATTTTGGCCCAGCTTTATGAGTTTAACTGTTTTTCTTTAATTTAATTTTCTTAGTTTCTTCTAGTTCTTAGTCAGTGGGATGTAGAGGAAGGACTCAGAGAAGCAATTTGAGCCTGTTGTAGCAAGCACTATAAAACCTTCTGCAGAGGGATCAGCTGATGAATGTGCTTTCTTTCTGACCTGAATTCGCTCTGCTGTGCCTGTTCTGGGCCTCTTTTAATGAGAGACTGCCAACTATTCTGAATAGTGGAGAGGTTTTCTGACACAGCCAAGTCTGTAAGAGGAGCTCAAAAGAAGGTTCTGAATTTTGAGTTAGACTTGGTTTGATCCTGAAGATCAGAGTTTGATGCAAGTAAGCTGAAACACAAGACAGTGTACTCACAGAGGGTATCCTTTTATTTGAAATCTTTTGTCTAGTGACTCCTTAGACCACACTTAGAGCTTTCTGTCAATTACTTTTTTTTTTTTTCACTCTCAATTTAACCTATGGCTTTCACCCCAAGCTAGCAGATCTCTCAAACCACCAAAGAGCTACCAATAATGGATCAAGGAAACTTCAGAGATTATAATAGAAAATACAGCTTCATTACTCAGCCTTAACGTTGTTGGGGTTTGTTTCTCATATATACTTATCACATAAAGAATTTTTTGCAAAAATTTCTCACTAGTGTCCCTTACCTGCTTGTAAGAGCTTGGCACTAATTTGACTATAAAATACAGCCATTTTCAAAATGTACTAAAAATGCAGCAACTTACAGAAGTAGATAATCCTAAATTTACACATTTCTAGAATTCTACCTGTCCTGAAGTGCTTTGTTTTTTCCCTGTTTTTATTCAAGGTTTATGAGTAGTGTGGTGCTTGCCCAGTAGAGAAGGCCCCCACAGTGACCACCCAGTGCTGCTCTGAGCCGTGAGCCAAACACTTAGAGGTCCTGTATGAATCATAACAAACTGTGATGCGAAAGGCAACGCTGATTAAAAATTGCTTCAGGTATCACTTTCCTTCTGGGACATCTGTGATGCATTAACATAAAGAAAAGTAGTCTTTGCCCTGGCAGGCTTGCAATGTATTCCATTTTATTAGGAACATAAACTTTGACCACAAGGCTATATTTGTATCTATTTGGAACATCACTGAGTTCTGGGTTTACTTTAAAAAATGACTTCAGTAGCTGGAATTTCATTTACTTCTTTGCAAAATCATTTCTGTGAAAATATGTCTCTTTCAGTGTGAAAAATGTTTCTCAAAAGTTCAGCTTAATGGTAAGAGCTTCTTTTCCCTTTTTGCTCCTTCATCTAATACTATTTGCTGTGAAACAACAGGTTGCTTCTATAGCCGTACTTAATCCTGTTTACAAGACTGCAGGATCAGTTACTCCTGCTTCTCTGTTCTTCACTTCTTTCTGGCTAAAGACTGCATCATGCCACCATGGATGGCACGTTTCATGCCTTATGATGTTTCATGCCTTACCATGAAACATTAGAAGTTTGCCTCTTTTTCTACCTGCCACCAGATTTCTCTCTGCCTGTTTCAGCTATGTGAAGTCTGGAAACTGAGCTGTAACTTCTTTTTCTAAATAACAGTCTATCTCATTTTGTGTAGGTGAGTCATAGAGCTGAGTTGTGCAGACCTGAACAGAAGGCAATTGCTTTTATACTGCGTTTCAAATTGTCCATAATGAGTAGACTGAGTCTCTCTGGCCACAAGACTTGAGCTACCTAAAACCCACACTGACTTTTTAGAGCTGACGCAGTATGGTCTGCTACACACCTCAGAAAACTCTCAAAGGTCCTTTAGTTGCCCTGTTATAGGTCAATAAGGAAAAGCTGGACACTTAAGTAAACTATACTACCATGTTAACATTACAAAAGCCACATATAAGCTCACAAAGAGCTACAAATTCAGATAAAGCTCAAAGTTAACAGCACCTCAAACTCCACATGAACTTGGTTTCATCAGAGCTCTACCATTACATGCTAATGTTAGGGAAGACCAACAGAAATCCGGTGCTTCACTTTAACCAGTTTTACAGTTTTTTGACAGTTTTACAGGTTCCTCATGTTGCAACTGTGTTACAATGGCCAAATTTCTACAAATGCAGTTTATCACAGAGGCTGAAGGAAGTTTTCTAAATCATTCAAGGTGCCATCAAATATTCTTCAGCCTACCAAAAGAATCTGTAGGTGGCAGTGCACAAATTTCCTAAACATTAAACTCCCAACCTTTTTCTTATTAAGTTACAGTTTATTAAGGACATTTCCTTTCAGTTTTCTTCTCCCCCACAGAAACTCCTTGAGCAACAACTGCTAAAGGCGTGCAGGTAGGAGAGGAAATGGTCTGAAACAGTAGCTGTACACAACAAAAATCCTAAATGATTGCACACTGACACTGGGGACAGTTAGTCTGCAGCAGCAAGGCTGACCTCAATGTTTCTTGACCTATCAGTGGCTGCTTACAAAAGAAGAGGTATACTCTGGTATCAGAAGCAAAATGGTTTTGATAAATCTTGTCTTTAAAAGCAGCCAACATCAGCTTTCCAAAAGTCTGAGTAGTTTAATCAACAACGTGCTAGATAAATTAATCTTGGCTGTCACTTTCAGAGTTTTAATGCGGGCCCCCTATAGCTGTAGATTGGCTAAAGTAAAATGCTTTTATATTAGTGGTACTGCAGTTCCCACTCTAGAGAAGGGCTATGGAAGTTTATTTCTGATCATGAGGATCCTGAGAGCTGAAACTGGGGAGATTTTTTCTGAGCTAGAAGAACAAATGAGGTGCTGGCAACATCTGAAAATGTCATGAGAAATTGGTCATAGAGAAGCGCAGCTCCCTTGAAAGTCAAAATGCTCTGGAGATCGACACAAGCTGCTGCTGGGAAGTGAAGCATGGAATGAATTAGGAAATGTAATAGACTTAATACTGTGAATGGTAGGGACAAAGAGAAAATTGTGTATGTTCCACACATTTGACAAAATTTTGAGGTAAAGAGTTTAAACATTAGTAAAAATAAAAAAAATGGGGTGCTGACTAACAATACATGAATTTTGAACTACTTTTTATTTTTTGGAAGAATCTTCATCTTGCATTTGTAGAAATTTGGTTATCACAATACAGTTGCAACATGAGGAACCTGTAAAACCAGCAAAATGTTTGCGGTTGAAGTGAAGCACAAGATTCCTGTTGGTCACCGCTATTAACATGTCTATTAAAAAATCCAGAAGTATTTCAGAAATATTGACAGTATTAAAATATTTACATAGACATTATGTTTTATGCTATGCCAATTTGCAAGCTGTTAAGAAGTTATGAAATTTATAGCTATTCAACCCATACTTCCTGAAAAAACAGAGACAGATGACATATTAATTCATCTGTCTTTTTGAGTGAAAAGTTAACTGCAGGAAAAGAAATTGAAGTTGAGGAAGTTTCTGTGTAAGAATGAAAAGTAAGGTGATGGCTGGAAAAGCAGCAGTTACATGGTCTTAGTGGAAATGGGGTGTAGCAGTGTATGAAAGTGATTTTTTTCTATTCTTGCCCTTCATAATGTGCCCCAATTTTATAATTGAGAACTCCAACTTTGCTCTGTTATAGCAAAATGTTTTCATTTAAAGGGCTTTCTAGTGCTTAAAATAAATAGATGTTTACCTCACAAATATTAAGCACATTATTTCTATGGAAGTAAGGAATGCAAATACAGAAGTGTTATGAACAAATACTTTATTTCATTGCTAGTCTGGTAGGAGTTGAATTAAGAGTTTTACAGAGCTTCAGTTGCCAGTTTTGTGGTAGGAATAATTATTTGTTAGACAAATAGCTGAAATACAGCTAACAGGAATTACTTGGGTCCTATCTAGAGATGTAGATCATGATGTTAGGGAAAGAAATCAGATTTCATGATGTTTTATCAGAAAGAATCTTCTAGCATGAAAGCTATTACCCAAACCAACACTGCCAGTAGCAATGGTCAGAGCGAGCTGGGAAAAAAATCTAAGCTACTTGACTGCAGAGAAAAGAAGTCCTTCTGGAGTGATGCTGCACAATAGTGACAGATAAGAAAAAATGATACCATAGCAAAATTCCATTTTTATCAGAAATGGAAAGTATTAAAAATATTTAGCAAAACGTCTCTTTGCATAATGTGTCTTAGTTATCACAGTGAAATAATGAAAAAGCCGCAGGAATTTGCTTGGGTGAGCAGGGACATCTTAGTTCTTTTTTTGTAAGAAAAAGATTTCAGATCTTTATTTCATAGGCAGCTGAAATAATTTAATGCATGTTTTAAAAGGAATTGAAAACAGTAGATAATGCTTACCTTGGAAGCTGTTCTTAAATCTGGATCCCTTTGGCAGGAGTTCTGGAGCATATTCCCGATAGCCTCCTAAATAAAACTGACTGAAAACATTGAGTCCAACCAGTCTCCCAGGAGAAGTGACAGTTTTATTCTTCTGATCATTCACCTTTCAATGAAACATTTATATTTGTTACAACAAAGGAATTTACCTTATTTAGGAACTCCCAATGAAGATGGTCCTCTAAACTTAACAGGGAACACAAAAGTAATTTTTAAACTTTCCATATAAAATGTGAATAAAAAGAACACTCTCATCTAAAAGCTATCCTTCTAAAGGAAATGATTCCTTACCTTTAGCCAGCCTTTTTGGAGATATCTGCCAAGACGGATGACATGAATATTGAGTGTCAGATCAAGTGGTTTACTAATGATTGTTGCTGTGCCAGAACCTAGATTGTAACTATATACTACTCTGCCATTACGGAGGCCTAACTCCAGGAAATCATCTCCATTGAGACCTGAAAAGACAAATTTAGAATAACTGCTTATTCCAGTCTTTACTGGATACTGACGCAGAAAACATTCTCCAAATGCACTGAAAATATATCAGTTTTGGAAAATTCTAGCCAGGAAGGTTTTATGTTTTGTATATCTATTTAATATTCTCTGTTTAACTTGTAATACTGTTTCCAGAATTCTTATAGATTAAAATAGAAACTGCAGAAATTTTGAATATATAGGGGTTTTGGAGGCCTTTTTTTCGTACTATAATATGTCAGTGACAACCATAAAGCCTATGTGTTGTTGTGTCTGTTGGATTTAGCAGTCACTGCTGTTCTCCCTGCAACAGGAATAAATTCTTAACTTTCTCCAAAATCTTAAAAAAAAAGCAAATTGAAATTCCAAATCACATGTGAGAATAGCCAATTACTCAGTTCTACTCCACTATGCTTTCAGCTTTCATGGTAGGTACTTTGACAAAAAACTTGAGAGCACCTGCTGCAGTCAGGTAAGGAACCAACAGGGATATGGACTTGAAGCTCTAGCAGCTTCTATCAAGCTTGAACAGTTGTCCTCGACTCAAGAATGCTGGGGACTTTATTGCAGCTGCCCCCACCTAGAGTATTTGTTACTGAAGTTTCTCTGGTCAGAAAGTCATAGGATTTAATTCTCTGAAGTCTTCTTAAACTTTCAGGTTAGAACTCATGAATTTGCAAATATGCAGTAAATAGTTTAAATTCTTTACATTTAGGACTACATGCTGTAAGTATAGTCTGTGTTTTTCAGGTACCATAGTATAAAATCTCACTTGAAAGATCTCATTAGAAAGTCTAACAAAAAGCATATGAGTAAGAGTTAAATTCTTGGACCCATTCCTGGTCATCCAGATACATGGATTTTAAGGCCATCATCTTTGAAGAGAATTCGATCCCTCTTCTCATGTAGGCACGAGTGGAACCACCATTGTTAGATCGTTTTAAAGAAAACACAATCACCCGGTTTCTTTTTAAAAACCCTATCTTTTCTTTTGCATATACTCTTAGTATGGTAAAAGAACTGAGATACAAAGAGTGGTAAAAGGAAAGAAAGTTCCCAGTCTTGGTTTAGGGTGTCCTGAATTGAAATTCAAAGCCATCAGTTTCTTTTTACAACTCTCCTGTGAATTCAAGCAATTTGGTGCTCAATTTCATGCCAGTAAATGATGTTTTATTTGATATTTTCTTGTTTCCCTAAGACTATTTCATTTTGTATTTGTTTTAGTGAAGGTCTCTTCCTATTTGTTCTTGCAGTGTCATATGGTGGCCTTCATATCAAATACGTGTCTTGATGCCCCTGCTCCAAGTGCATGGAAAATTTGCTTCATTTGTAAAAGATAAAGTGAGCTAGCTTCTCCCCCCAAGAAGCAATGATACTTATATCTCCTCCTCCCACTGAAGCTGTGCATACTGCTGTTTCATGTCCAAAATTTCTATATTCCACTTATCTTAGACGTGGTGGGACAGCTCACATGACTGGAATATAGTCATGGAGGGCTATGTCCTTTTCCGGAAAGACAGTCCAGCCAGGCGGGGTGGTGGGGTTGCTCTTTATGCGCGAGAGCAGCTACAATGCGTTGAGTTCTGTCCGGGGATAGATGATGAGCGAGTCGAGAGTCTGTGGGTGAGAATTAAGGGGCAGGCTGGCAGGGGCGATACAGTTGTGGGGGTCTGTTACAGGCCACCGGATCAGGGTGAGGAAGTTGACGAGGCCTTCTACAGGCAGCTGAGAGCGGCCTCACAGTCACAGGCCGTGGTCGTCGTGGGGGATTTTAACTTCCCTGACGTTTGCTGGAAGGACTACTAGGCAACCCAGCCGCAGTCCAGGAGGTTCCTCCAGTGTATGGATGATAACTTCCTCATGCAAATGGTGGATGAGCCAACCAGGAGAGGTGTGCTGCTGGATCTCATCCTCACTAACAAGGAGGGTCTGGTTGAAGGAGTGAAGGTTGAGGGCTGCCTTGGTTGCAGCGACCACGAGATGGTAGAATTCAGGATCTTGTGTGGTAGGGTCAGTAGAATAGCAAGTAGAATCGCAACCCTGGACTTTAGCAGGGCAAACTTTGGCCTCTTCAAGCGATTGCTAGGGGAAATCCCATGGGCTAGGCTGCTTGAAGGGAAAGGGGCCCAAGATAGTTGGTTGACGTTCAAGGACTGCTTTTTCCGAGCTCAAGATCGGAGCATCCCGACACGTAGGAAGTCAAGGAAGAGGGTCAGGAGACCTGCGTGGCTAAATAGGGAATTGCTGGGTATGCTCAAGTGGAAGAGGAGAGTTTACAGGTCATGGAAGGAAGGGCTGGCCACTTGGGAAGAATATAAGGCTGCTGCTAGAGGATGTAGGAAAGCTGCTAGGATGACTAAGGCCTCCTTGGAATTAAAGCTGGCGAGAGGGGTCAAGGACAGCAGAAAGAGCTTTTTCAAATACATGGCAGGTAAAACTAACACCAGAGGCAATGTAGGCCCGCTGATGAATGGGGGGGGTGCCCTGGTGACAGAAGATACAGAGATGGCAGAGTTACTGAATGCCTTCTTTGTCTCTGTCTACTCTGCCGGAGGCAGTCCTGAAGAGCCCTGTACCGCTGAGACCTCGGATGAAGATAGGTCAACGGAGCGGTCTGCCTTAGTCGATGAGGAATGGGTTAAAGACCAGTTGAGCAATCTGGATATCCATAAATCCATGGGTCCAGATGGGATGCACCCGCGGGTGCTGAGGGAACTGGCTGAGGTCATTGCTAGACCGCTCTCCATCATCTTTACCAAGTCTTGGGAAACGGGAGAGGTGCCTGAGGACTGGAGGAAAGCAAATGTCACTCCTGTCTTCAAAAAGGGCAAGAAGGAGGACCCGGGTAACTATAGACCGGTTAGCCTCACCTCCATTCCTGGGAAAGTGATGGAACACCTTATCCTTGGTGCCATCTTAAGGCATATCAAGGATAAGAGGGTTATGAGGGGCAGTCAACATGGCTTCACCAAGGGGAAGTCGTGCTTGACCAATCTCGTAGTCTTTTATGAGGAAATAACACGATGGATGGATGATGGTAGAGCGGTGGATGTGGTCTACCTTGACTTCAGCAAAGCGTTTGACACGGTCTCCCACAGCATCCTTGCGGCTAAATTGAGGAAGTGTGGTCTGGATGATAGGGTAGTGAGGTGGACTGTGAACTGGCTGAAGGAGAGAAGCCAGAGAGTTGTAGTCTATGGGGCGGAGTCTAGTTGGAGGCCTGTATCTAGTGGAGTGCCTCAAGGGTTGGTACTGGGACCAGTATTATTTAATATATTCATCAACGATTTAGATGAGGGAATTGAGTGTACTATCAGCAAGTTTGCTGATGACACTAAGCTGGGAGGGGTGGCCGACACGCCAGAAGGCTGTGCTGCCATCCAGAGAGACCTGGACAGGCTGGAGAGTTGGGCGGGGAATAACTTGATGAAATATAACAAGGGAAAGTGTAGAGTCCTGCATCTGGGCAGGAACAACCCCAGGTTCCAGTATAGGCTGGGGAACGACCTGTTAGAGAGCAGTGTAGGGGAGAGGGACCTGGGGGTCCTGGTGGACGACAGGGTGACCATGAGCCGACACTGTGCCCTTGTGGCCAAGAAGGCCAATGGCATCCTGGGGTGTATTAGAAGGGGGGTGGTTAGTAGGTCGAGAGAGGTCCTCCTTCCCCTCTACTCTGCCCTGGTGAGACCTCATCTGGAATATTGTGTCCAGTTCTGGGCCCCTCAGTTTAAAAAGGACAGGGACCTGCTGGAGAGAGTCCAGCGCAGGGCAACTAAGATGATTAAGGGAGTGGAGCATCTCCCTTATGAGGAAAGACTGAGGGAGCTGGGTCTCTATAGTTTGGAGAAGAGGAGATTGAGGGGTGACCTTATTAGTGTATATAAATATATAAAGGGGGAGTGTCACGAGGATGGAGCCAGGCTCTTCTCAGTGGCAAACAATGAAAGGACAAGGGGAAATGGGTACAAATTGGAACACAAGAGGTTCCACTTAAACCTGAGAAGAAACTTCTTCTCAGTGAGGGTGATGGAACACTGGAACAGGCTGCCCAGGGAGGTTGTGGAATCTCCTTGTTTGGAGACATTCAAAACCCTCCTGGACACGTTCCTGTGTAACCTTATCTAGGTGTTCCTGCTCTGGCAGGGGGATTGGACTAGATGATCTTTTGAGGTCCCTTCCAATCTCTAACATACTGTGATACTGTGATACTATCTCACATGTTCTAAATGAGCGTGCTGCACTAGCAATGCACAGGTACAACACCACAGTACTCTGCTTTTTCTATACAAAAGTTTGATTTTTCTATACAGTTACTATTTTGATGCACCATGAATTATGCAAAAAAGAAAAACTTATTCCAAAGAATTTGAACACACAGCCTCTGTAGAAAATGTTCAATTACATTCAGTTCAATACAACGCAAACACTGTTAATTTTTATTACAGTGATTAGTTCATGACTGAATGAAACAACATTGACTTCAGTTACACTGGCACACTACCAGTGAACAACTTCCAAATGGAAAATAACATTTTTTTTTTAAATTATGACCAAAGTTTCTATTTTTCAGCAACTTTCACAATGTACTTGCTTGTTTTGGCCTGCAAAACTAGGGGCGGCACATTAAAGACAAAGTGTTTTTTAAAATGCTGTCTGGATTTTTAAAAAGCTTTCTTGGAAATTAAGTGCATAAAAGAAATGCAACAGTGTCCATGTTCCACAAAATTGACCTGATGGTGAAGGTAAGGTTAATTAGTAGTCTGCTTAAACAAGACAGCTTTTCACTGTTTGGTTGGCTTTGATTCTTTCAACTTACTCCTTGTCTGTACCAAGAATGGAGGGGAAAACAGATTCTCGAGTAAGCTTCAAAGAAATAAGGCCATCTTAAATTCCCATTCTTTTTGTTGATTTCTGACTGACTTATTTTGGGATTCAAAACCAGTTGATTTTTACTTCTACATTAGTCTTATAAAGGCATAATTTTATCAGCTTAGTTTTTATTACACTAATATAACTGCAAATAGAATCAGATCCAAAATGTTTTAACATTTTATGCTTTCAAGGTTGTAACTTAAATGGCTTCAAACCTTCACTATGAAAACCAGTGGTGGTTATTTGCTAAGCACTAATAAATGCACTTCAGGGAGGAAGTATTTCCTGCTTTTTCTGCTTTCGTATCTGTTATTAGTTCTGTTACTAAAGTTTCTCTGGTCAGAATGCTTTAATTCCCTGAAGTCTTCTTAAATTTTCAGTTTACAAGTAGTTCATTTAAAAATATGAAGTAAATAACTGCTTTAAAATTAGGACTACATATGCTATCATTGGCAGAAGTCCTTTGAAAGACATGTTTAGGGTTTTTTGGGAACACACACACACACAAAAAAACCACAATACATTTTCATTTCAAGAGGGCAGCAAATGAATCTTGGAATTATTTGTTTCAAACTATTTTTTACTGTACAATATTTGAACCCTGCAGCTGTTGACAGAGCACAGTTTTGTACATTCTAGTTTTAAGTGTCCTGCAACATAGGGCTATGGTAAACATAATTTAAAAATAATTTACACTGAGAACAAATGTTTGGTGTGTATAAATAATCTCAGGAGGGTTTGCTTTTACTTTAACATTATTACTCCTACTTATAGAATAACTACCACTTACAGAAGCTTAATGTTACATAAGCTTAACATAACAGCTATTTACATAAGCTTAACATATGTTAGGGTCCAACTTCACTTCTTCACTACAGTCCCCTCTTCTCCACCCCTAACACCAAGTGGGGCATGGTGACGGGGGCCTGTAGTCAATACACAATTGTTTCTGTCTGCTGCTTCTTCCTCCCCACACCTTTCCTTTGCTCAAGAGTATTGCTAGTCTGATGGCTGTGAGAATTTTGGTTTTAAGTGAGATATTAGAACAAGAGTGACTTTGTGGGTGTAAGAGGAAGATCTTATACATTTCTGTATTAGACCACATTTGATAGTAATTCACCAGAGGTTATCCATGACATCAGTGTACAGACAGGTTTAGGCAGATATGGCGAAACAGGGGAATCAGGTAGGGTATTGCAAAGGAATACTTGCTATAAGAAATAAAATGAAGTGGCGAAAGGGGAAAATGAAAAGAGAACATTAAAAATACTTCCTTAAGGCAAGATCAGAGACTGTGCAAATCTTCATGCTCCTCATGTTAAGAGCATTATTGTCAGAACAACAGCATCTCCACTTGATCAAATAAGCAATGTTCATTTGGTAAGAAATACTGCTTTCTGGTCATTGAAACAGGGGTTACTCAGTCTTCCAAGCTATTTAAACTAAGGAGAAAATAAATAAACCTGTGATTTACAAGGCATCTCATTGTTTTTCAGCCTTGCCGACAGCTGGTGCTCTGCTATCTACCCATCATTTGACACGATGCTGAAGAAATGTCTTACTACTCTATGGCGGTGTTCACAAAAATTTACAAGAAAATAATAAAAATCCAGGTTCCTGATAGACAACTGTGTAATAAGCCCAGAATGCTAGCATTCTGGTTGATAAAAATGACATCAGTAAGAGCTGTTTTTTTCTCAGTTCAGCTGTATGTGGTTGCAAGACCTACATTTCACATGACTTTGACATTACAGGGTACAACCTGCAGGCAGGTCTTTCTGAGACAAACTTTAGTGCTATGTATTGCTAAAATCTTAGTACAGATATAAGTAGATTTATATAACCTGCTTCTTATCTGTTTTAATCACACCAAGTTGGATACTATGTAACACAGACTATAGCACAACTTACTGATAGCTAGATTGGGTTAACCTGCATTGAGTGACTTCAGGGGTTAGGGTCTGTTAAGTAAATAACAGAGTCCAATTCTGTCTGCCACAGGGTTGGATTTCAGTGTTGAGAGTCCTCTGGGCTCTGGAAGTGCAGCCCTGTGACAACAGCAGCAATTCATAGCTACTCCTGTGGCTGTTTGAGAACACAGGAAGAAGAAATGCAGGGTAACTGCGGCACATTGGATTGATGGATTGATTTTCCAATAAAGTATCAGTGGAAGAAGATTTGAGGCAGCATCTCTCGAAACTGCATACCAAATGGATGTAACCAATAATGAAATTTATGTTTATGCCTGAAAAGAGAACTTGAATATTCTGTTTTCCATTTATTTTGTTCAGAAATATGCTGCCTCAAGTATCAGATTAACTGATGACTTTAATGAATGGAAGAAGTTATACTTCTTAATGAAAAGAAACATTTATACAGCCTGATTGTTTACTGTGTGTTTACAAAAGAGTATAGTATAAAAGAGATTATTTTCCTCCTAATGAAATTTTAGTCTAAAAATAATCAAGAAAAAAAACTGTGTGTGCTTTTAAAGTACTTGTTTAATGAATTTTTCAAAGCCTGTAAGGGTAGATAATAAAAATAAAGCTTACCTTGACCTTTCTGTCCAGTGAAAAAAATCAGGTTATCTTGTAAAGCTGAGTGGTGGTTTGCCAAATGAAATTTCAAGCTAAATTCATAGTAGAAGGTGATATTTGGGATGGTAGAATAAGCCAGAAACGAGGTATAGCCAAAAGCATCTGTGCCACTGAAACTCGGTTGGCTAATATTAATAGCTGGATTAGAAAAATAAATTCAGTGTTAGAGCAAACTCTTTAACATATATATTTGCAAATTCTATTTAAGAGACTTTTTAGACCTTAAAAACTAATAATACTAAGAGTTCATAACGTTGTAATATTTTACACACATGCAGATATAGTTTGGCTTTCCTCTGAGTGTAATCCTTATTTTTCAGCTCTTGTGAATAGGTTTCTCTTACAAGTGAATTATTGGCAACTACTGCCATCTTCTGGATTCTATGTTACATTGTTGTAAACAGAAGTGCACAAATATTTACTCAAAACTCAGGTAGACGAAAGAAAACAGACATTCTCCCATTAAAAGAACTGCCACCTCTGAGAGATGTGTCCCAATGGCTCTAATTATACGCCTGCAAAAACACACTCCAATTAACATTGTGCCCAAACCGCACACCACTCTGCCATGGAGCTGAGGCCTCTTAATCAACTTTTTGTCCTTGATCATGCTCTGTGTCTGTCAGTCCTATGCCATTCATCACTGTTTTCTTCTGCATTCCCAGTACTGAACAGGTAATAAGGTATGATTTGTCCCATTGACTCACTAACAAATAATGACAAATTATCACATTATATAAACATATCAATATGGTTGGCTAAATTTCCCTTTGTATACATTATCAGAGGTGAGCACAGAAGTGGGAGGTAAAAAAAATTAATTATAGTTTGATAACAATCTTAACAAAGAGGAGAAAATAAAGTGACAAAGAAAAAAGAGAATAATAATTTCATTATCTTTGGATTATGTTCCTTTCAGTGTTCACAGCTAATGTACCTTGAATCATAACTTTACAATACATTGTAAAAAAACAAGACAGATGAAAGGGATAGAGAGAGATGAAGATTTCAGGCTACAGAATTACAATTGCATAATACAGCTTTTTATATTATCATTGACTAACTGTGTACAGTTATTAGCCCAGTGTCTGGATTTGGGATCAGCAGAAATATACACAGGATGATGAGTATAAATTTAGTCCTAAATACCAGCTCACATATTTGAAAGACACTGTTGAAAAAGGAATGCAAATCACTACCAAGCATTGTATTTTCCAGTCTTCCAAGCTGTGGTGGGCTGCGGTCAGTTCACTACACACTGGATATGCTGCTGCTTCCTCCTAAGGGGGAGAATTCCTCACACTCTTCCTCTGCTCTAGTATAGGGTCCATCTCACAGGAGACAGTTCTCTGTGAACTTCTCCAGCGTAAGTAAATCCTTTGCATCTGAACTGGGTTGGCCCTAGACCTGAAACTGGAGGAACGCTTCTGGTGAATAGTTGCCTGTCAGATATAGCCCATTCACTACAACTGTTTGAGCTCTGCCCTTCAGTCAGTTCTTGACCCAGAGCAGCATGTACCTGCTCATCCCACAGTTGGACAACATCTTCAGACTGTAAGGAACAGTATCAAAAGCTTTACTAAAAATCTTCCCTCGTGCCCTTTTCTTTGGATTTGAATAACATTCCAGTCAGCAGAGACCTCCCCAGGCTCCCAAGACCTTTAGTAGATGATCAAGAGAGGCCCTGCTGTAATGTTTGCTAGTTCATTCTGAATTCTGGGAGGAATCCCATCAGGCACCATGGGCTTGTAAACATGTAGCTGAAGTAACTGGTCTCTTACAGTTTCAGCGTCCGCAAATGGAAAATCACTGTTCCCATGCTTCTTGTGCTCCAGCTCAGGGGACTGGGCAGGCCAAAGTCTGTCAGTCTTATTAAAAACTGAGGCAAAAAATATATTGAATGCCTATGCTTTTTCTTCATCCCTATTAATCAGATGACCATCTTCAACAAGTATCAGTCGAATGTTTTCTTTAGACTTGCTATTAACATACTTGAAATGCCATCTTCTTATTATCTGACACAACACTAGGCAGTTCCAACTAATTGAACTTTGGTCTTTTGTGTCTTCTCCCTGCGTAAATGAACCACAGCTCTGTACTCTTCCTGAGGAGCCTGACTTTACTTCCAGAGATCATATGGTTTGTTTTTTCTCTTGAGCTCCATGAGGAGTTCCCTGTTTAGCCAAGATGGTTTTCTTCCCCACTTGCTCAACTTGCAACACAGTGGAATTGCATGCTCCTGTGTATTTAGTTCACATGATCTGCTAGTGCTACGTTAATGATGTTTTCATTAATAGGCAATCCAATTTCCTTACAGGAAACTCTGGGAAGTACAAGGAGGAAAAGGTAAGGGGTGCTGGAACTGCAGAGCAGTGCAGTGTCAGCTAAGCTAAGGTGGTAGTAAAAGACTCTTGATGTCTGGAAAACTATTGTATGAGGAATTAGTGATCCACATAATGGATAATTCAGATATATGCCTTTCCCTCCCCAGCTGCAGTAAACACTTATGTTCCTTTTATTTGTCTTGTGGTATTAGTAGTCATGGAGCCATGGGCCCATTAGCTTAGCTTATTTCTAGTAACTTGTACTCCTGATCTGAAATAATAAAAGTGATTTCACTGCTTAAGTATGAAAATATGAATCTGAAAAACTGGTAATACAGCAGTGACATTAATAGCATGTGTCCTGGGTTTAGCAATAGCAGTCATTTTTTCTCCTTCTTAGTAGCTGGTGCAGTGCTGTGTTTTTGACTTTCGGCCTGGGAACAGCACTGGTAACACTAAATATTTTGCCTGGCCGAGGACTTTGTGAGCCTCATGCTCTGTCAGGGAGGAGGGAACCCGGGAGGAAGCACAGACAGGACACCTGACCCAAACTGACCAAAGAGGTATTCCATACCACAGCACATCATGCCTGGGGAGGCAACTGGGAGTTACTGGGAAGGGCTAGTTCACTGCAGGGTAGGACTAGGTATCAGTCCGTGCTTGGTCGGGTGGGGTGGGGTGAATTATCGGTCAGCTGGTGAGATGTTGTATTCTCTTCCCTATTATTATTATTGGTGGTAGCAGCAGTGGTTTGTGTTATACCATAGTTACAGGGTTGTTCTTATCTCAGCCTGTGGGAGTTTCATTCTTTCAATTCTCCTTCCCATCCCTCCAGGAACAGGGGGGGAAGAAAAGGGGGAGGGGGTGAGAGAGCGACTGCATGATTTATGGCTGACTGGGTTTAAACCACGACAGCATGTGAATGTGCATATGTGTGGTTTGTACAGTTTTTATGACATTCCTCACTTGGAGGGGAGGGGGAAATTAAAGGCCAGCTAAAAACAAATGACCCAGAAAATAAATTCTCTTGAACAGGAAGAGCAGCAATCCAGATCAGCATTCCCCAAAGTCTCTTTCCACTGACCAGAAGCCTTGCAATGCAGGGTTTTTTTGTTTTTTTTTTATCTAAGGAAATTCCCTTTGGGCATCTGCTGTCACTGAACTGTGCTATTTAGTCTGCAGACCCAAACAAGTCTGAAGGTGACATTATGTGCCAGACATAGTTGCACAGAAGCAATTCACTTCCAGTCTGATTTTCACTCTTCAGAGCTTGGAGCAAGTGACTATTCCCACTTCAGCACTTGGAAATTAATTTTATACATGTGGGGAATACATCCTACGGAAATCCTGCTGGAAATCTTTGCACTGTGAAGCATCACCATAAATGCTGCTCAGAAAAGTTTCAAGAAAGATACTCAGAGATTGCTGTGAATGCATACTGTGGATGGCCCTTTTGAGTGTTTATCAATCACAATGTCACAGCAAGGACTCTTTTATTGAAACTAAACCACTGAAGTTTGGTTTAAACCACGAGAATTGACACATTTACTCATCTTAGCAATGCACATTCCATTGAAATGCTTCTTTAAATTTACCTTTGTGTTACGAACTGCTTGCTCTTGATTCCTGACTTAACAAAATACTTCATCTTATGACCAACAGCTTTCCAGAAGGGATCACTTTCTTGTGTAACACATGATTAACAATAAAATCATAAATCATAGAATAGTTAGGGTTGGAAAGGACCATCAAGTTCCAACCCCCCTGCCATGGGCTGGGACACCTCACACTAAACCGTGTCATCAAGACTCTGTCCAGCCTGGCCTTTAATACCACTAAATCAAGAGTTTAGAAGTCAAAGTGTTCATTTCCATTCCTGGTGAATGAACCATTTCTGCTTCACTCACATTTAGAAGGCCATCACAACTCTGCAATACAATTATATCCTGATATTTCCTCTTTAAAATTTTCCTTGCACTCAGATAATTCAAACATACTGGCCTTATGTATTACGGACCATGCCAGTTTCCTGTACCAAACAGGGAATGCTTTCAGTCTGTACCTAGGGCTTAAAAAATTTGAAAAATGAAATAAAGGCGCATTACAGAGATTGCAGAAATTGAACAATTCTTTCATTTTTCAACTCTTGGGGAACAAGAACAGTGTCTTAAACTTTGCATATTTTGGTGAGACACAACAATATAATTTTAATACTTTAATTTCATTGAAACTACTTGACTTTAAACAACAGTGATTTGGACACATTTCTGTTCAAATCATTATAACTAGAATTCAGCTTAATTTCAAAAGAATTTAAGTATGGTGATCTGGACATCTCTCTGACTGTCTGTGCTCAAGTTTGTCTTTAGATCAAGCAAGCACCATGGACGTTCATTTAAGCCTTAGAGCTTATGAAATGACAAATTTCCCTGGATGACAGGCACTTTAGAGCTAATCTAATCCTCGCTTCAATGAGTTGTTATGTCTTCCTGACCAACTTCAAAAGCAGAAATATCAAATATATAGGAATTATTTTAACAAGCATTTTACAGAAAAAAAAAAAAAAGAACATTCATAGCACCACTGGAGAATGCGTATCCTGTATTCGTTTGGTCTGAAATGGTGCTATCTGTAAGCACTTTCATTCAGCAGTGTGACCCTAAAGACTGGAGGAGACTTAACAATCTGCAAGAAACACAATGCAAGCAACTTGTTACTAAATTAGGTATGAAAAATTTTATTAGAGCAGGGCTTGAATGTTGACCGCTTTCACATAAAACTACTAAAAAAACAGAACTCATAACTGGACTCAGTTTAAATGATATAGATCACTTTCTGTACAGCTTAAAAAGCCAAAGTCACCTTGGAGATTGAGTCAAGTTGCCCATGTAGACACAGTCTCTCTACCAAATTGTTGCATACTGATCATGTTCATAGCTAAATATTTCCTGTTTTCTATTTTAATAAGTGACTAAATTCTTATTTCAGGCAACTACACCCCTTTGAGTTGAAAGTCATGGGGGCATTTAACTCCTCAAATCAAGAGTGTTTGGTTATGTGATAAATGCTTGCCCTCACACACACAAAGCAGCACAGAGACAATGGCAGGTGGTGGAACTCAATTATGACTTTGCCTCAGCTACTCCCAGCCCTACCCCAGGAACCATCAGCCCACCACAGGTCCACCCCCACAATCCCAGAGAAGCACAGGGTCCAAAGGAAGGTGGGAACCAAAGTAAGGATTCAGAGGAAGAGACACCCTGTTTGGGCTCCTCCCAGGGGTAACCCAAGAGACTCTCAGCCCTAGTGTCCAGCTGTGGCACTCACCATGACAAATCAGCACTAGAGCACCTTTTAAACAGTGGGGTGCAACTGCTATGGAGTTGGGGACATATTATGGGATGCAGGTGAAGAACATTTTGGAACAGCACAGGATTTATGGATGTCTAGGGGAAAAAAAAAGAGGGAAGAAGGAGGGAATTGGGTGGTTTAGGAGGAATGAGTGTGGGAAAATAGAGGGATACAGGAACAAAAGGGGCATGAAAATGGTTGGCTGGTCAGTATGTTTGTCTGGATGTGTCTTTCATCTGATCAGCACAGTCTGTCCTCTCTTTTAACTTATATTACCATCCCCTGGGGCTACAGACCCGTTCATTATGACTTAGCTATGTAGCTTCATGAGAGAGATTTCAACATATAACAGTCAACTTGCAGTTATAATAACACGGTCATCTAATGATAAAAGCAAGAAAAGATGTGTAGTGAGAGATAATGCACTTTATTATACATATTTGGAAAAAAACAGGCATGATTTTAGGAAGTTTTTCTTGATGTCTGAAACAAGCATAGGTAACTAAGATAAACTCAGAGCAATTGTTATGAGCCTGTTCAGGTTGCTGTATGCTCCATCTGCTTCAGAAATAGAAGAAAAAATCTTTGCTAGTCCCAGAAGCTTGACTGTTTATTTATATAGGTTTTTGCCTCATTTGTCATATTTATGGTAGCCCTGCAGTTTTCTCACTTTTAGAATATTGTTGTTTCCCATAAAATGAGGCATTTTTAACTTGTTCCGCCAAGCATTTTGGTTTTGTTTTTATTTTGTATTTATTTTTCCCAACATTTAATAGTAGCATAGATTTATTATTAGTTTTTCTTATATATTTGCAGAGGTTGATGTAGTTAGAGTGTCTTCTAAGTCTTAACAGATGGTAATTGAAGCTCTGATAGGTGCAAGTTCTGTAGCAGTGGGTTATTTTGTGGTTTTGTTCACATATTTATTTAGCATTACTTTGTCTTTTGTAAATAATATCTGTTGGTAGGAGCAGCAATGCTGGCTTGAAATCTGCAGTTCTATTTGGTACATTTGCTATATTAATTTTATCAAATAGTCACTGTAACTTCTTGCACATTTCTTGTTGATGAAGTCCAAGCAGTACTCAATAAGCATTTAGGAGAAACAAGCTTTCCTTCAGTGTTTCAGACATAAAGTAGTATGCACGTGGTTACTAATCTTAATAGCAGAGACAACATTTTGGTATATCTTAAAGAGAAGATGATTCATTGAAAATCTGTGCACCTAGAATTTAAATTTTATGGACCATTTCTTTCTAGCAATCTTATTATCTGGGCTGTTCATTTTGTTATAGTAAACAATCAAATTTGTGTTCTGTTTCTAATGTAATTTATATTGCTCTAATTGTAATTAGGCAATCTATCACTATCTTCAAAACACTTCACCAAATGTACGCCTTTGATGCTGCTAGGGCTATCCCTAAAGCTGCGCCCAGACTTCACTGCATTGTGGCTGTTTCTTCTCTGTTTGTTCTGTTTTAGCATTTGTGATAAAAAGGCTTTTTTTTTGCAGCTCATTTTAAGTTTCAGTGCAAAGTCCAGCTTAACAGGACTCCTGTCTGTGATTAGTTAATTTCTATTCTAAACTCTCAAGACACAGGTCAATAGAATAAATATTTGTATTTCAATATTTTTTTTGTGTTGTGGACTTATTGACCCTAAATTTATACTCTGTGCTAAGAAGCTGGGTGTTCTTCCCCATTTTGTTTGCTTACAGTGATGATCCAAAAAGTTTTCCCTTTCCATTAAAAAAAAATATTAATTCTTTCTTTGTTTTAAAAGCCTTCAGCTCTCTAGTCTAATCAAATTAATGATTTTGTGTACTTTCCCCCAATTTAGGCTCAGTCAATTTTTACTCTCAATTTAGGGACAGCTAACTACAAAGAGTTGCAAAGAGCCTCATTGAACTACTACAGGGAAAAAGCGTTAGATGATACTCAGTGTTGACAGATGTAAATTGAGATAGATTACACAAACAGTCCTAGCCTTATATAGAGAATTGTGGACTCTGAACTTGCCATCAGTATTCAAAGAAAAAGATGTTAAGAGTTTTAATAAGCAGTTTCATGAAAAACACCAGTGTACTCGTAAAAGGAAATAGGCTGGAAGAAAAGTTTAAGGAAACGACATAGAGTAAACCAGAAAGATGTGTAACAGCGTTATATATTATCACACCTTCAGTACTGCAGTCAGCTCTGGATCCTCATTTTGAAGAGGGTGCAGTGGCACTGAGAAGCAACAAAGAAAGGAAGTCTGGATGACTGAAGATACAGCATGGCTGGTGTTCCAAAAATGAATGAATCTACTTGAACTATTCAGAAATATTTTTTGGGGGGTTATAATAAGGATATATATAAAATCATGAGGGGCATGGAGAGCGTGAACAGGGAAACATTCATAAAACAGGGAACAACTCTGAAACATCTGTTCTCACACAGAAGCTTGAGTCGTTAATGTCATTAGTAATTGGAGCAGTTAAGCAAACAAATGGAAGTACTTCTGCACAAGTTATATACTTAAGCTCTGGAACTTTGGCCACAGGATGTTGTGTATCAAGTTTATATGGACCAATTAGAGAGGTACATGGAAGAAAATAAATCTATCAAAGGCTACACCAGGTACCAAGCGCAGCACAAGAAGCCCCAGTGTCTTGTGATACCACAAGTTAAGCTTGGCTTCGCGAGCGAAGGTTTGGGAAGGGATTTAACCACACTTACTACAAGCACGATGACCAAAGATTACCAAGGAAGTATCATACATGTTTCATACACTTGCCTACACATTCAGTACTGGCCATCAATTATCAGGGTTAGGCTAAAACATGGATAAACCAAACATTAATCTGCTGCAAATTTTTGAAATAAAAATTTTAAATAAGAGTTAGAGATGTATGTGATATGAAGAAAAAGACAATGTAGATTTTGATCTAATCTGAACATTGCTTAATACTTATTTTGAAAAGCACTTCATATGCACTGTTAAATCAGCTCAGAACCAATGATTATTTTCTATATGCAGGTTTTTTCTATCATTACTTCTTATTGCATTGTTAAGGGAAAAGAGAACCTTGGATGTTCACACACAGGAATTTCTGACCTAGAGCAATCGTTATAATCAATGACTGAAGAACAAAAGCCATTCATTTGGTAATATTAGTCAAAATGACCAATTTACTTAGCTTTATTAGTTTCCCTTCATCCTGTCTCCTGTTTCATATCAACACAGTTGGTAAATTTTAATTTGTTCCTCTTTTTGACCTGAGAAATTAATCAAATTTTAACACCTGCGGGTATTTTTACAATCCAGAAAGTATTATTTATACACTCCTTTAATGTACAAAATGTACAACGTAATGCTTCCCTAAGTAGAGGAAAATTCAAGCTACAGGAGAAATTAATTTCTCCAAAGCACCTCTCAATCAAATCTCTCAGCTTCTTTAGAGGTAAATTACTAAAACATCAGATGCTATCTGTTTTTTCCTAGCTTGTCTACTCTTAAATTCTTTGACCCTCTGTCTTCCTTTCTCTGGTCAACACTTTTATGAAACAACAGGCAGTGAGGGTGCTCAGTTGCGACATTTTTTTTGCATGTGATTGGATTTTGGGCTTTGTTTGTAGGTAGGTGGGAAGCTGGTCAGTTTCAGTGTTTTGCTTTCAAACCATTTGGCTTGTTTATTGTATATTTTCTACGAATGATAGTAATTATCACCTATGCATAAAGAAAATGTTTCTTACCATCACTGCAGAGGATGCCAGATCTTCCGTATGGACAAAGGCAAACAGCATCTCGTCTGGACTTTGGAAAACACGTAGCACCATTTCCACATGGATTTTCTTCACAAGTTGCAAACTGGCAGAGTTTTCCAGAGTAAAGTTTAGGGCATTCACAAAACCAATTTTCTGCATCACTGACAAATTTAAATGAAAAACAAAAAAATATGTATAAGTACCAAAATGCCTTAAAAAACCCAGGATGGGTTTTATATTCACAGAAAATCAGTGACATTTGACTTACAGTTGAAATACTTTTTTTTTTTTTTGTTTGGTTTTTTGCTTGTGTACTTGACATTACAGATGCCAAAATGCTTTACGGCATATGGGTGGCATGACTTGAGAGATTCTTTCGGGTTTAATTTTATATTTTGTCTTATCTTTCCTTTCCTGGTAAAATATATGGCTTTTAGCATGTATTACTTGTTATTCGTGCTGCTGCTTTTATAGCACAGTTGAAATAAGTGCTACAGAAAAACAGCTCTGCTATTATGGTTGAAAAAAGGAAAGTGAAAACCAAAATTATAAAGCTACTAGCTTACTTTGCAAATGGAAACGTCATTTGTACATTGAGCTATTATATATAGCTTGTGACAAGACAGTAGGATCTAAAGAACTGAAATAAAAATACTTACAGTAGTGCTTACATTGAAACTGAACCAGAATAAACAGGTAATATCTCTGCTTTCATATATTTTGTGTTCTCAGTCATAGAATAGTAGAATAGGCAAGGGAAAGAAAAAGTCGGAATCAGTCTTGAGAGGTGATAAAAACAAATGTTTAGAAACACACATATTCTGTTTGTATGAATTACCCGGGTTTTAGTATACAAAGGTAGCACAACAGCAGATATGACAGGAAAACCAAAATAAGATAGGTAAACCAGGAGTGTAAGACATTTCTACCTATTACTTATTATAAATATTATTTTATTAAAGGTTTTATTTGATTTTCCCCTTGTTTTATGACTGAAATTAGATGACAGCTAGATAGGTCAATTCATGTCATTACTACACATCCTCAGTATTGAACAGAAACATGTCTGTCCTGTATTTGATAAGGTCAAATGTGCCTGTGGGTACGAACACAGAAGACATGATGTGAGCTGTATCAAACCACAGTCTTTGTGTTTGTCCAGATAATAGCATAATTATTAGGGTGTTCAATGACAAAATGAAAGATACATGTGATGTTTTAAAATCTTGATAATGCTTATGATATTCATACAATCAAGTTGGAGAAAATAACCTAGGGTTGAGAGAACCCCTGTATTTCTTAAAACAGGGAAATAAGTGAACCTTGTGACAGCCTTTGTGCATAGCAATTGATGAGTGCATTTCTAAACTGACCACCTGCAGTTCTGGGGAGAGATGATCTCAGCTGGAGAGACTACCAGAATGAATCTCCTGAATAATGCCTCCAGACACCTTTGCAAAAGAAAATTACTATCAGCTGCAATAATAAATTTATGTGTGTAGCCTATTCTATTTATAGATCTGCTGCAGACACCAGCAGAGGAATGTAAATGAGATCCTGGATTGCTTTTGTTTGTGCAGCATCAAGAAGTCTGCTTTCTACGGTTTTAATATCAGCATTACATGATTCAGCTAATTAAAAAAGAAACAATAAACCGAATTCTTCCTGGAAATCTACAATTGATGGTGATGATCACTACATCATCAAATGTATTTCTGTTTGTTTATAGAAGAGAAGACAGATCATCCTTGCTGACTGCCAATATGCATAGACTTTAGTTTTCATCTTTAGAAAAACAATTTTCACGAATTCTTCTATTGAGCCGTATATGTCACCATTGTCCATTTCTTTTTATAGCCTTACTTTTGCTATTGTAGAAAACATTAAAAATAAAAGCTCTCATAACAAACTGTGAGGAGTTTATTGTTATAAAAATAAGCAATGTTTCAACAATTCACTATTCATGCTGTAACACTCTAATAATGAGTGATTCCTAATGAAGCAAGACGATTTTTAAAAAGTTTTACAAAATCATACAAAACTTGTAATAAAACAGCTAGCCATAGAGAAAAAGTATCACATCACATGAAGTTTCAGATGACTTACTTATTCTCTTTCAAAACATTCTGTCACTGTACTTATAAAGGACAAGATTCCCCATATTCTGCTGAATTAATCTCAGCTGCAAGAAACACATAAATGCTTGAATGACAGTGGACTTCTCTCTTCCTGAGTGGATTTCACTATTTCATGATCCTGCTATCCTTTATAAATGCAAGAAGCAAATGAAAAAGGACAGCAAATCAGAACAGTAATATTTTTTGTCTACGTTGTACCTGTGAATGCTCTAAGAAAAAGTTCTTGGATAGTTGCACACATGAGCTGAAAAAAGTAAATAATGCATTAAAGAAAAAAGAAAATTATCAGAATTTGAGGCTTCAAAATTAGAAACAAATTTGGAATGTTTTTCTGAAATGTGTTATATATCTACACTTGTGTTTGAGTTCAGATGTAGAGAGATCTGAAAGAAATTTGAAGAAAACCTCCCTGTTGTCACCAGTTGAAATGCCTTCATTTATATTGTGGTCTTGAGTGCGTGAACTCAATTTCTTTCAGATGAACCTGCACCCGAAGATTTTCTTACACCTCAGGTACTCCAGCTGTTAGTGGGCATTCAGACCATGGGTCCAGACCAGGTCCAGTGTGATTTAAAGCTCCCTGAAACATGAATAATGGGGATGCTGGGTCCTTAGCATTAATTGATATGCCCTGTATATCTATTCCTATCAAACTATGTTATCTGGTAATGTGGATACATATTTATATGCCAACAAAAGAAAATCAGGTAGCTATGGCGGAGGTTATATACCAGAAAAGACTCCAGATTTTAAACTGAAATATTGAAGAACTCCAGAAGTAGATAGAGAAAAAGACTTAACCATCCAGAATCATATGAAGAAAGAATGATACAAACAGTGTGAGAAAATGGAAGAAGAGACAGAAATAGTGAAGAAAAGACAAGAACAATACTCCTAGAGCAGTGTTACCTCATGTCACCAGACATGATATATAAAGAAAAACGTGCAGGGAAGATGAACTGTCCTCTGAATAACTCTGAAATGGTGAGAGACACACTTCTTTTTATTACCATTACCCATGTTAAAATACTCCTTTTGTCTTCAGTCTAGACATTAGCTTGGAAAGAAAATAATCAAGAAGACTTTTCATGGTACAACATGATACTGGTAGTTCCATCAAATCCTTGTCCTTGAATCTGTATGACATCAGTGACCTGATCTAATGAAATCAAAGTTTTGTGTAAGATTGACAGCTTTGGGATGCCAAAACAGGTTTTGATTAATTCCTGTTTTTAAATATAGCATAATAAGGGGAGGCTGGATTGTAACACATTAATAATACAGTCACAGCTGTATTTAATCACAGTTTTTTGCTTTTAAACTAATTCTGTTTTTAAAAGAAAAGGTTATAATGCCTCTGTGCAACGTGCCATGGGCATAATTTTCACCCTGGTGGTATAGTGCTGTGGTTTTCCAAAGCAGGCTATAATTTTCAATGCGCTTGTGCTTTTTCCATCTCTGAAGTGGGAGCACTATATTCTGCCATTCCCAGGGAAAGCACTGTACATGCCGTTGTTATAGTCACATATGAGAGGGCTTCCCTGAAATGCAAACCTCTCCACACCCTTTAATCATGACAGTACTAAGCTGAGAATGTAAGAAACTATGTGCTGGAGTGGGTTCAATATATTTAACTACAAAAGTTCTTTTAATGCACTCACTATATTGTATGGGACAGTTATGGAAGTTGGAGGAAAGAGCTTCCCAAGCTTCTTCAGTTAATAAATAGTAGGTATAATTCAGTTAATTTTACAGTTGTTACTATTATTTATTGCTACTCCATTTTGTTTTAAAGAACAAGAAACTGAAAGGAGCATCACAATTGATCACTTTAAACTTTAAGTTGAATTGCACTTCATGCAAAGATTCATTTAACCTCCTTATAGAAAAATAACAGGATAATGTAAAGGGGATTAGGATCTTCCTTTGAAAGCTTTGTGTAATAGCCAAATCCACAGAAACTCATTGCAGCCAGAAGGACAACTTCATCTCAACAATAATCTTAAAAATATTAAAGGACAATATACAAAGGAAGCATTTCTTCCTTGTGCACAGCAGGTGTTTTTCTACTATATAATACATCTGCCAATCTTTCCTTGAATTATACAGTGCCTGAAAATCATTTCAGCTTTCCTGCTGCTTTAGTACTTTCAACCAGGTTTCCTCAATTACAGTATCTTCTCTAGATCTGAGTGCTTTTTGTTAACTTTACTGTTTTGAATCCTTTTTTCCCAGTCAGGAATTATTATTCTGAAAGCTCTTGTTATTCACTATATTTTATTTATGTTTTTTTCTTTTTTTTACTGAAAGGACTTATGTATTGGGTCTGTGTGGCCAGGTTTTGATAGGGGGAGAGAGGAGTGGGGTGACTACATAGGTGGCTTCTGTGAAAAGCTGCTAGAAGCTTCCCCAGCATCTGACAGAGCCAATGCCAGCGGGTTACAAGACGGTCCCACTGCCAGCCAAGACTGAGCCCATCAGTGATGGTGGTGGTGCCTCTGGGATAACATGTTTTGAAAGGGGAGAAAGTTACTGTGCAGGAGAAACTGCAGCCAGATAGAGGAGTGAGCGTATGTGTCAGAAACAACCCTGCAGACACCAAGGTCAGTTCAGAAGGAGGGCAGGAGGTGCTCCAGGTGCCAGAGCAGATATTCCCCTGCAGCCCATGGTGCAGCCCATGGTGAGGCAGTTGTGCCCCTGCAGCCCATGGATATTGATGGTGGAGCAGATCTCCACCTGCAGCCCATGGAGGATCCCACACCAGAGTAGGGAGATGCCTGAAGGAGGCTGTGATCTTGTGGGAAGCCTGTGCTGTATCAGGCTCCTGGCAGGACCCGTGGCCACATGGAGAGAAGAGCCCCCACTGGATCAGGTTTGCTGCAGGACTCCTGACCCCACAGGGGACTCACACAGGAGCAGTCTGTGAAGAACTGCATCCCCTGGGAAAGACCTGAATTAGAGAAGTTTGTGGAGAACTCCCATGGGAGGGATGCTACATGGGAGCAGAGGAAGGAGCAGCAGAG